GATATAGAAGGCAAATGTGTAGATATAGCTATCAATTCTGATGCGGTCAAAAGATATTATGTATGATTTCTTTGGTTTAAATTGTTTTGTTTGTACTTGCCATGTTTTGAAGATTGGAATGACGAAGGCATTTTGTTATGCTATCTAAACACTTTATCCTTTGTTACTCCTTTGAGCTTTATTTATTTCCTTTCATACCCCTCTTTTGGAATCAGTAGCAAAGTTCGAAAATACGAGCGCAAAAGGTGAGTAAAGAAGAAAAAGAGAAAAGAAAAGAGAAAAGAGAAAGAAAAAAATGGAAAATAGTGAAAAAGGAGAAAAGAAAAGAAAAAAGAAGAAAAGGAAAGAAAAGGAAAAGAGAGAAAGAAAAAGAAAAGAGAATAATCACAACAACAAAGTAATTCCTATGACATGAACTACGTTCGAGCTGATTCCTTTTAAGGATACGTAGGCAGCCTCATGGTTCAGTCCCATCAAAATAGAAATCTAGAAGTCCCCAAGCAAAGAAACTGGGGCAGAAAGTTGTGGTTATTGTAAGAAATCTGATTCCAAGAGTTGTAATTTTTAAACCCATTCAAGTTGTTTTGAGCCTTTTGATATCCTTTCTTTCTAACCCTATCCAAAATTTCACATTATAGTCCAAAGAAAGACCTTCCAATTAGTCTTCGAGAGATTCCAAGTTGAGTAAGCACAGATGATTCATATCAGGGGAAGCACTCCGGTCTAAGCAGGAAAAATGAAAAAAATGAGAGAGTCTTATTGGTGAAAACACTCACGGGCACCGTAAGGCGACGGTGAGTTGAGAGATGATTAAATGATAGAGGTTTGTTGGTGTAAACCTTTCAGGGCACCGCGAACCGAACAAGGTCAGTGATTCGGCTAAGAAATCGGGTTATGGAAATCCTAGGGCATATAATATGACAACTAAAAGGTGATTGATTGAATAGGCTGGGATGATTAATCCAAAATGCATGTCATGATCATTGGTACCAGCCGTTCCGCTCAGATAAGTCTTTTTTTCTTTTTCCTCCTATAAACAGTCATCCAGTTTTGGATTTTCTTCTCTATTCCTAACTCTCGAAGTCATTGCATTTCATTTCTTTGGGGTTTATTTCTCTGAGATTTTTCCAATGTCAGTTTTGTTTGAGCAAGTGAGAAGAGATTTTAAAGCTTACTACCAACTTCCAAAATTGCACAAAGCAAAGTGCGGCCAAAGCATACCAGAGATAGCATGATGTAAAGTGGGAAATAAGGTGTCAGTGAAAGTTCCATTGGTCGAATGGTTTAGTAATCTTATGTGAAATACAGAGGTTAAGGTAGAAGGGTTAGAAATGTAAAACAACGGTTTGAGTGTAGAGCACTCGGGTCATCCAAGGTCCTGCGGTTGAGAATCAGTCAGAAAGTCAAACGGTTCTTGGCCAGTTCAAGGCAACCAGTCAAAGCAAAGCGCGACACCGAAGAGGCCACCTTCAACAAGAATGCCACAAACTAACCACCATATTTTTAAACTGACAAGATTTTTCGTTGATTTGAAATAGGGGCAGAAAATTCCATTTGTTTCGGAGAAACCTTCCATAAAGAAAGCAATGTACCGGACAGGTTCGATCGTAAATTCTCAGGACCCGCCTGGATAATGGAATTTAATTTGAAGTTCTCGGGACCCTTCTGGACAATGGGATCTAGTTTAAAATTCAAAACATTCATGAGTAACAAGATCTAGCATAAGCTTTACCTTGAGGAAATATAAGTTGGCTTTGAAGTTTTCATTCTTAGGATAGGATTCAATTCGAAATTTTTAAGACTCTCATGAATAATGGAACTTAGCTTTAAGACCTCCATTAGATAACAAGATTTAGCGTAAGTTCTACCGTAGGAAAATATAATTTAGCCTTAAAGTTGTCACTCTTAAGATGAGATTTGATTTTAATTTTCAGGATCCTCCTGGATAATGGGATCTAGCTTTCAAATTCTTAGAGATATTTGGCAACATGATTCAATTAACACTCACCGATGTGTCCAGCTACCAAACTGGGGCAGGAAATTTTATTTGTTTTATCTATTTTGTTGTAATAAGGCGCCCATCTGGAGAGCAAGGGAGAACAACATGAGTTTCAAAGATGGAAAGCAGTTCAGATCCAAGCAATTAGGCACCCACCTAGAGAAATAAGGGAGGACAGTTCAAAGAAAGTAGCAGTTTCAGAGGAGTCAATTCGAGTTGGAAATCAGGCACCTACCTGGAGAACAAAGGGAAGACAGTTCAAGTTTTTGGAAATTAGGCACCCACCTGGAGAACAAAGGGAAGGCAGTTCAAGTTGTGGAAATCAGGCACCCACTTGGAGAATAAAGGGAAGGCAGTTCAAGTTGTGAAAATCAGGCACCCACCTGGAGAACAAAGTGAGGGCATTTCAAGTTGTGGAAATTAGGCACTCACCTGGAAAACAAAGGGAAGGCCGTTCAAGTATTGGAAATCAGGAGCCAACATGGAGAACAAAGGGAAAGCCATTCAAATGTTAGTTATCAAGCGCCCACCTGGAGAACAAAGGGAAGACAGTTCAAGTGTTGAAAATCAGGAGCCCGCCTGGAGAACAAAGGAAGAGCAGTTCAAGTGTTGAAATCAGGAGCCCACCTAGAGAACAAAGGGAAACATGCCAAGTCTCAAGGGAAAACAGTGCATATATTGGTAATCAGGCGCCCACCTATAGAGCAAAGGGAAAACAATTCAAGTTTCAGAGGGAAAACAAGTCGAGTCTCGTAGGAAAGGAAGATAATTCAAATAATGATAATCAGGCGCCACCTGAAGAACAAAAGAAAAGCGGCAATGATCGAAGGAAGATGGTTCCGGTTCAGCAATCAGGTGCCCGCCTAGATAATAAAGGAATTCACCTCATAACACAATTCAAGTCAGCAACAAAGGAAGTTCACCTGGAGAGTACGAGTCAACGGAGCAGCAGATGCTGCAAGATCAAGTTTGAAGATATAGATAGGATTCTTGTAATTCATAAATCATAGTTTAGTCTAGCTTCTTGTATTTTGTCCTGGTGTAATAAGGGGTTCAGCAAGCAGTAGCAGCAACATCAACAGTGAAATCACAACTTCCTGGTAGTCCCAGCTACCGAAACCTCCCGAACTACACTGACCTGATTCTTTTATAGCCAAGGATATGTAGGCAACCTCGGAAGCAAGGTGCGGTCAAATTTTTCAAAAAATGCTTCCCAGGGAGTATTCAAAGGGGCAAAAATCAATCGTATCCGCTCACTTTATCTTTGAATGAAAACTCTTCGTGTTTTCGAGTAAAGAGGGGCAGCTGTGAGCACGTGATTTTTTTCCTATATGAATTACTCCCATTAATTCAAGAAAATAATTTTTTTTTCCATTATTTGCAATTTCGCAAATTTTTTGTAGGATTTTTGTTAATTGTTTGCACTTTTCTATGCATGTTTGTTTTATTTAAATCATGAAAAATACAAAAAAAAAATACCCCGCATTGCATTTGGGATATTTTTACATTTTTAGGTTAATTAATAAAAAAAATTTGTTAAAAAATGAAAATCACCAAAATGGTTTACTTTTGCATTTTTAGCCTTTTAATTTTAAATTAGTAATTTCTTTTTTTTTTTAATTTAGGAGTAATTAATTTTTAAAATTATTATGGTGGATTATTGTCTTAATTGTGTTAAATTAATTTAGTTTAAGAGTTTGATTTAGGTTTAAATTGATTGAAAAGGAAAAGAAAACAATTATAAAAGGAAAACAAAAAAAAAGAAAGGAAATTGAGAATTTGAATAAAACCCTGAAATTGGGCCAGTTCAGTTGAAAACCCGCCCAAAGTATTTCCCCAATCCAGGCCCAACTCGGAGCAACCCGAATTTGCCCAGCCCCTCTCCAATCGAAACGACCCCGTTTCCTTGGGTCAATCCTAGCCATCGATCTAAGTTAATCCAAGGGCTGGGAACTGGGGACCCCTTTTGTATTTAAAGGTCGGAATCTAGGACACCCCCAGTACAAACCCCTCCCCTTCAGTCTCTTATCGCCTCAGCCCAGAAACCCTAGCGCTGTCCTAAATTCCTCCACCCTCTCCACCGGCAGCGGGCTCCAAACACCCCACATTCATACCACGCAACCCCCAGGCCATCCTAAATCCTATTCCCACATTTATTTCTCAAAAATCCCAACGAAATTCCCCCAATTCCGAATCTAGAAATTAAACACTAATTTATTCTATTTTTTCTAATTCTGCACAAGTCCCGGCTCGATTTGACCTATAATCTACATTAGTCGATTGCTCTTAACAAGAGCAATCGATTGGCATTGGTTTTAGTCCATTCTGAGAACACCGGATTTTGACGAACTCACCGGATTCCGGCCAAATATCTATTCTCATCATCGTTCGATGATTCGTTTCGTTTTGTCAAGACATTCTGGCGTAAATTGGTATTTTCCGCTCTCTTTTCCCTCAACTCTGCTGATTGTAGTATTTCTATTCTTTGTTTACTTACTTCATTTTTTGTCTGTTTTTCTTTAATAATGGAGTCCATCTTAGTTGGTAGTTAAAATTAGGTTTAATCGTAAAATTTTGAATTATTGTTTCTTTTTCTTGTTCTGAATTTGATTTTCTTTGTTTGATCATTTGTGATGGTTTGGACTCTTGAATTAACTGTGTTCATTGATGACCCGGTTAAGAGGCCCATTCATTTGGGGTCTTGGGTTAACTTGACCCAGGTTGGCCTGCTGAGCGTAAAAACAAGGATGTCAGGGGGTGTTTTGGGCATTTGGGGTTTAAGGGAATCATTTTCTGTTGGGGGGAGGTTCTAGAGGATAAGATGAGAGCTGGTTTGTTAAGGGCAGAGGGTTTCAGATATTTTGAAAAGGGTAAAGGGGGTAAAACAACCAAGAATTCAAGGGTAGAAAGGGAATTGGTAAAGTTGGACTAGGGCTGCCATAGGCATGCCTATATAATACCTCTTCCCCTTCATCTTTAGGCAACTTTTAATACTCGACATACTGAACATTTCCTGGACTTTTTTGGTTGAAATTTGCTTTGGTTCTGCTTTTGATCTTCATAGTTAGTCAGAATTTTCCAAAAGTTCAAATAATTTCTGATGTCTGGGTTACAAATGGCCTAAGAGAGGTTGAATATTGTTGTGTTTGGCTTGCTGATTTATTCAATCTATTGCTACTGTTGAAAATCTTCATTCTCTTTTGGTTTACTTTGATATCCAGGTACATCTTTGGACTTTATTGATGTGAAGCTTGAATCTGAAGCATGTCGGAGATGTAAACCTTAGTTATTGAATATCAAGTTGTGTTATTGAAAACTTATCCTTGTTCTACATTAAATTGTGTTCTATTGCTTGATTCATTGTATTTATTCATGCCATGGACATTACAATTTGTATTGGGGTTGTATTTGGACTTTCATGTGTTATTTTGGTTCCAGCCTAGTTTAAACTATTTCTACCGAGTCCTTGGATGTTTGTACTGTCATAGTATAGATTCAATTTGGATAAGTAACACTAATTTTGGATTTTGATTAGTTCAATCTCAGTGATGTTAAGTTCCCAGTTAACCTCCATCAATGATTTTGTTGTTTAGAATTTCAGTTTTGTTTTTTTTTTTTAATTTGAATGAACTCAAGGGCTATTGGGTCACTGTATATTTAATGTCAAGAGTATCCATCATTAAATTTACTATGTAAGAACTCAACAGCAAATGACAGTAATTTCAATGTTCAAGCGAGGGGGCCTGTAGTTCATTAATTATGTAGTGTTTTAATTTTCTGCATGTTCATAGCCAAGGGGCTCAGCTGGATTCCTTGGGCTTCAGATGTTTCTTTGTTTATGTGGGGACACGATCTTGAGTCCCCTATCCTTTAGCATTCATCCTTTTACCAGATTTGATTCTACTTTAGGCTTAGATGTTGGGGCCGCTTGGAATGAGGAGCTGTATTCCTTACCGTCTTTTGGGCCTGCTGTCGAGCCCAGACCCCCATTTAAAATGGCTGCTGCGGATTATGTATACAATAGGTTTGGCTCTTTTGTTATTTTTTTTAGTAATTTGGCAGTCTGGTTTTTACAACTCAAGAAATTCATACTTGGCCCATTTCTTTGAAATAACCCATGGCCCAATTGTGCTCACAATTAATAACTCCTTTAATATCAAACTATTTAGGCCTAGTTAAAACTAACCCTTGTAATTAGGATAAGGTGTAACATATCAAACAAGAACAATAATTTATGGCCCTCATAAATCTAAACCAAGAAATCATTTGAACAAATAGACTTGAGGTGTGTCATAAGCAAAATTAAATCATCCACGGCCCTCACACATGTTATAATTTAAATATTAAAAAAGGAACCTCGTAGTTTGCTTTAGGCGTGTTAATTATAGTTATCACAGTTATTACTAAAACTCGGGGGTACATTTCATGTGGGCCGGTTATAATTTCCAACAAGGTTAAATAGAACGTGTCGTGAACCACGGGTGCATTTCATGTAGCATGGCTTGCGATATGTTTTAAATAACCTTGAATTAATTCTTTAAATAAGTAAAAGCGGTTTTCAAAAGTTAAAAGGCACGTAGGTTTAAAAGTGTTTAAAATTAGATAATTAGGCCAATAATAACAGTTGAGCGACCGTGCTAAAACCACGGAACTCGAAAATGCCTAACACCTTCTCTCGCGTTAACAGAATTCCTTACCCAGATTTTTGAGTTTGCGGACTGTAAACAGAGTCAATCATTCCTCAATTTAGGATTTAAACTGGTGACTTGGGACACCATAAATTATCTCAAGTGGCGACTCTGAATAAATAAATAAATTCCATTTTGATTGTCACTTAAATTGGAAAAAACTTCCTTATATACTCCCTCCGGAGGTAGTAAAAAGGAGATGTGACAATAACCTGGTGAATTCGTGAGAATCAATAGAACATTATGAGTAAAATTTAACAGTGTCAATTTCAGGATAACAATCTTGCACCTATCATGTCATGACCCTTATTTCTCACAATGATAACAAACAAATTCTCCTAATCTCTAGTTATTCGTAATCAATTATTATCTGCTTTACTTGTAGTAGTTAATTATAGTTCATAATCATTCCCATTCAAGGTGTTAATTATTCTAGATAGCATTTAACTAGAAATTATTTGAATATTGTATACATCCAATCCATATGAAGACGATAATTAAACTATACTATCTTTGGCTAACAAGCATAAATTTTTTGTTGTGTTTTGTGTTCGTCAATAATAAGTGGCTGCAAAAGAAAAAAGATAATTGCGATTAATCGACTGATATCTAGATGATTTAAATTCAAGCTCTCATTAAACGAAACAAAGGAAATTTTAAATGTTTCTCAATACCTAATTATTTTGAACATCCAGAACTCTTTATTGTAACATGTCTCAAACTGGTTTTTTTCATCTATTTGTCATTGATAAGGATCTTGATCGCGCCCAACTCTAGTTCTAAAAAGGATGAGCGGTCGCTACAAATGTAATTTGGTCTAAAAATCTGGAATTGAATCCCACAGAGAACTAAGGTTTAGCTACAACTGTGTACTATCACTAAGAAGACAAACTCGAACAATTCCTAAATTGTAAATATCAATACTCTATTTTCTTACTAATTAACTAGCATATTAAATTAGTAAGTTAAAAACTAAAGATACTAAGGGTTGGAGACAATATTAAGGACAGGTCTAGAGTTATGATTTTTTCAATTGTCGGAATTCTCCTTGCTACATTTTCTATAATTTCGCCTAAGTATTCTTTACCTATAGTGAGCATTTCAGGTATCGTAATTCTCGTCTGAGCAAATACCACAATTTACTAGACGTATTCTTCCGAACTACGCTAGCTGGCACTAGTTAACTGCTCACCAAGATCACACCAAGATTTTGTTATTCCCAATCCCACCTTTAAACTCTCCATATTGATTCCTCACATACGTTAGGAGTGATGTTGTTCCACAATTATCTAAATATATACCCTTTTCCAAGCAATATATACTAAATAGGCATAGTCATTTGAGGGCCTTTCAATCAACTAATATAATTACGTAGTTGAACAAGTAGAGAAAATCCAAAGGCAAAATTATATTAAACACAATAGAAAATCATCCTCCAAAAGGTTCCATCAAACCCTAGATAAATGAGTTTAGACAATCATGATAATAATTAAAAGCATTAAAATATAGATTAAGGAAGAACGGAAGAGAAAACTCTTGTGATTCGTTGCTTCCAAATGTTTCTGTAGCCTTCTTGCCTCTCCAATAATGTTTGAACCTCAAAAAAATAGGTTTAGAACTCCTTTTATATATGTTGGGGGCGTATATGGTTGAAACTACTAAGTCCAAGCCGAATTAGGACGAAATCCGCCCTTGGGCATCTAGCTTTGCGCCTGGCACGAACCTAGAAACAAAACTTTTTTTCACTTTTGTTCTTTGCTGCCCTTGGCATTTTGGTTGGTTCCTGGCACGAACCTGGGCACTAAAGTCATACTTCCTCCAAATTCTTCCATATTTACTTTAATTTGTATGCAAACTTTCCAAATCATTTCCAATTGACTCTTACACATATAAATACTACTAATAAGCTCGAGTCACAAATATTGACACCAAAGTTAATAAGATCGAGGCATAATGCAAGGCAAATGACATGCAAACATATGAATTTATAACCTAACATAACCACCCCACATTTAAGCTCTTGCTCTCCCTCGAGAAACCTAAAACCATGCTAACTAAACAATGCACGCAACACATTATACAATGGAGGAATATTTGGCAATTCAACATACTACTCATATGACCATGGTTGATACCAAAAATTAATCCTTTGCATACTCATTCATGCCTTTCCCAACTTTCACATGCCCGAATATTAGTGATCAATTTGAAACACTCAAATAATCTGCCCATAACCACCCAACCTTAAAGAACGACTCATCGCCAATAAGAACCTTTAATTCGTGCACTCACCCATCAAGAGATGTTTAATAACATCACCTATCCGTCATGGAATCACGTACCTCACCAAAGAATAACTGGATATTTCTTCCACACATTCAAATATGCATTCCACTATAATTTAAGGACATCGTGTATATGAACAAAGAACCACGCACTCTCTTAAAGAAATTCATGTGCATTCTGTGGTTGTACCATAGGCTTGCTCCTAGTGTATATCGACTAATCTAAGCTCGCAAAGTCTATGATCAATTAGGTCTTTATAGGTTGTAATATAGGTTAAGGGACGTGTAGTATATATTTTGGGTATAGTGACTAACTCTCCTAAGCACTTTAATATATTATAGTTAACTTTCAAATACACATTTTTCATGACCAATTCAAGCAATTTCATAAAATCATATACAACTTGGCCCTTCTTCTTTAAGCACAATTATGCATTCACTAGCCCGAATCACGATGAATAGGAGGTGTATTTTCTATATACTTTTTTTCTCTTTTTTGTATTTTCTTTGCTTTTTTTTCTCATCTCTTTTTTTTCAACACTCTCCACAAACTTAGGTTGCCCGGCTAATGATCTTCCAAAATATACATGCACCCTTAGGCATTTTTATGATTCCACTCAAAAGCTACCCCAACTTTCACCTTACTCTTCTAGAAACTTAAGTGCTTTCAGAGGTAAAGGTTCGAAAAGATTTTATTAAGAACAAAATGAGAATCGGCTTGTAATGTGGGTGCCAAAGAAAAAGTTCATAGGCTCAAATGGGCTATCTAAGGATAATTTTATTTATAATGGCATAATAGCTCAATGGGCAATGAAAGAAATGGCTACATCATTTCCTAGACTCATAAAGCTTTATTTCCCTTCGACTAACACACATAGCAAGTTCTAGACAATACAGGATAACACGGAATGTAATCAAAATCTTACATCACACAATGCACATGACCCAAGTCGGGACGGTTCCATTCCAACTCTCAAGTTTAGGCAAGTAATAACAAAGTCAAGAAGTATTAAGCAATAGAGCACTACATGAACAATGAGTCAAGTAACTGAGAGAAAGCATCACAGACAGGCTATTCAATCTTTCACGGCATCAATTTTTATCAAAACATGTTAGGAAGGTAATTTGCATGCTAAGGCCTAACTGTGTTAGCATAAAACAGTCAAAAGATACATAAGAGAACTCAAGTGTTCTTTCCTGAATTTTTTAAAAATAAAAATTACCCGATTCAAATTACATCCCCTGAAAAAAGAACCAATGCCAAAAGAGAAACCAAGGGGGATTACTATCTGCCTACGACTAAAAAAATATATTTTTAAAATTTTTTTATTGGACCTTAATCCCTCAAGAAAGTTGTCCAAGAGATTAATCATCAGGAATAGTCCAAAATTTTTTTTTAGTTAAACTAACACAACTAAAATATCATAAAAAATCACCCACACAATCTCCTCACCCCACACTTAAAATTGTGCATTGTCCCTAATGCACACCATAAATAACAAGAGGGTGAAAGAATATGTTTGGTAGGACAAAGTCCGAAGCATCATCAACTCATGGAATACTCAGACTTCTCCCAAGCCTGGTCCTCCGTGCGGGTACCTCATACTTAGTTCTAACCATGTGGTTTGTTTTTGTTTCCTTCCAAGGGATTTCCTTTCCATGCTCCCACAAAATAAAAATAAAAAGTATACTACAAAAATAAAAGAATTAAAAAAAAAGATAAGCAAATAAAAAAAAGCAGTAAAGTTGGGCTGCCTCCC